CACTGTTAAATTACACAAACCATTTCCTTCAAGATGGCTCGCATGGCTGCTGGCCCGGGACTCTATCACTCCTGTATCTGTGTCCGTGTGATCCATGAACAGGTTAGTCATGAGTTAATAGAGGTGGCTTGGATACAGCGGACAGGCTGGGCCCTCGACAAGACAACATGCTTCACTTCAACAAGCTGTATTTCTTTTACTCTTTTATCGTCATTCACACCACATCCTGTTTGTGTTCCTCTCCGGTGTGTCTTTCAGTGCTCCAGCTGAGCAATTATCCAGCTCCAGACTTGTACATTTTAGCGATGATTTCTGATGGGAAGCAAGTCCCTACCTGCATGTGAAAACCACCAAGTGCTCTGCTACAAATGGATACTGATAGCTCTATGTGCAAAGCAGTGTTTCCGCCAGGGGGGCGTCTTGGCGTCATTTGAAGCTCTTATTCAGCTCGGAACGCCGAGGGCGTCCAAAAAAATAAATGATTTGAGAGAAGATCAAGAGTTTTTATCGCTTGAAATTAAGAAAAGGAAAAAGGACAAGGACATCCCTCTGTTGGAGGGGCAAAGGACTCTGGTGGGATTCTTTTTGCAGCCAGCAAAGCGCGTTTCTGTGACGAAAAAAAACAAAAAATCGTCGCATCTTCCAAGGACCATGCAAGGAGGGGTGTCCCTGACGTAAAGAGATAGTATAAGGGATAGCGCAATTCAAAATTGTGTGTGTGTAAAGACACGTAAAGAGCTAGTATCTATAAGGGACGGCTCAATTCAAAATTCAACGTCACCCCCCCGCTCTCGGTGTGGATGCCCTCTCAGCCCTGGTCTGGCGGAAACCCTGGTGCAAAGTATTATATCGTGCAGTAATATAGACCGCTGTTTACTTTGTGTGACCCATTTTCCATTGGGGTTAGGTGGCTCTGAGCAGGAGAGGTGCCACTATGAACCTCCCCCTTAGTGATATTAGCCAATTTTTCCAGCTGGCAGTGTCTCAGCCACATCTGTGTCCTTCTTTGGACATCAGCATTGTCTGTCTTGGGAGACTTGTCTCCAAGTGGAAACACAGTTGGCGTGTTGGCATACATACAATGTTATTCTCAATTTGCCCACTGCATGATTTTAGCAAAACAGATTGTATAGTTATACAGTAAATCTAGTTTGGTTTTATAGAATAGGATAAAGTCATTATTGTGCGGATATACATTACCCAATTTTTTTTTACACTATATTAATGTTTTTATAAGCCATCGGATGTCGGTGACTGACAGGAAGGAAATAATTTTCCCACCTTTTTATTTGCCACTACATCACAGCATGCGTACTGTTTCTGCCATGTTCCACTCATTAGAGCCCACCTCTTCCTTGGGGGTTGGAAAGACTATTCGGTGAGTTCCGCCGATACACATTTGGATGGGAAGTTTACTTGCATTATTAAATGTTTTATCCCATCCAACCTGCCCGTTAAAGTGAAAGTATACTAGACTTAAAATCACAGTGTACTTTAATACCAAATCTTCCTTATTTGATAGGACCCATTTTGAGTTACGTACCGCAGCAGGGACCTTTTGTTGGTTTTGTTTGCGCAACCTAAAAAAAGCACACAAGCATGGAGCAGGATGTGTCAGTCAGATATAGAGCGTCTATACCCATGAGAGCACAAAGAGAAAACATGGATTCAGAGCCAATTATAACTTAAGGAATCTAGATCAGTCCACACTTCACTTGGTAGAATTTAAATACTGTAAAATATCTTGGTGCAGGGTGCAGCACATTTTAGAATGTGTGTGAATCCACACTAAAATGGGCTTTCTTATGTAATTAAGTTGATCACTTGCAAATCTTGGTTCACTGGTTCAGTTGCAGTAATTGAATTTGTACTAAAAATTAGGAACATTGTTTGTACTTTTGCTACTAGTAAAATATGTTTCATAAGAGTTGAACATTAAGTGGGTAAAAATGTATTTGGATCTATTGTAGGATTTAACAAATGTTCAACCTACCCACTCGGATCAGTCCTAAGGTCTGGCGACTTCACTGAATCATAATGGAGCTGATTTTTATTTTGAATCTCCTGAACTCTTGTAAACTGTGGCTAAGACTATTTAATGTAACCTCCTGTATACTTGAGATTGATTTTTCCTGTTACTATAATTTATATAGGTTTGTTTTAATATAGTTTTTGTGGAACATAAGAAAATTCCATTCAAAACAAGGAGCAAATTATAAGCATATTTGTTTTTAGTCTGTTACTATACAGCCATAAGATACAACTTTTTGTAGCTATTTAAGTTGAAAGAAAAGTTGAACTGTCAAAACATCATTTTGTGACTTCTAACTCTGTGTGATATGTATCTGTTGGGATACATAGTGGCATATTAAAATTGCCAAACTCATAAAACTTTCAGCCTCAATTTGCTGCGGACGTCAACATCCCTGTCCGTGGACAGGTTAGTAAATACATCACCTCTGATATTGTGAATGGGGGCCCTGTTAATACACAGGAGGTGTTTCAGATGCTTGTAAATAAACAGCCATGGATGTGTAACTCATTATGAGCCATAAGGAAACATTGGCTGCTTTTACAGGCAGTGAGGGTGTTGGTAATAGTAGGGGGTATTTCCGATAAGCAGGCAGACCCAGCAACTAAACCTCCCACACAGCTATGGGTCACCTGAAACCACACAGACCCCCCACTTCCAAAACCACAGTGCCAGCCTGAGCAGGAAACAGAAAAACTATAAATTAGCCAGGACTTCTTCTTTTTTAGCAACCCCTCCACAGAAAGCCAGCTTTTACACATCACACACTATGTTGCTTACTCAGTGACACCACATGTATTGAACAGGAGGCTAGCTCCAAATATCGGTTGTGAAGTGTAAATATTGAACTGTCAAATGTTTCACAAGCAACCTGCTGTGAGAAGCAAGCGGCAGAAAAACAGACCTACTGGAAACAAGTATTAAAGTTGGAAGAACTATGCTGTTTTGAAGGCCAATATAGTACATACATTTTAAATGTCCTATAAAACTACAAAATAATAACTTTAAAGCAACTGCTTGCTACTACTTCAGGATTCCACTTTTGAATAATATGTGTAGACAATTTACAAGGGGAATTATTACATGACCACAGAGAATGTATAAGAAGATTACGGTACATCACCACAACAAGCATACACAGGAGAAAAAGGAAGACAATGAACCTCCTGACAAAACTGTATTAGACATATAACACCATAAAGAGAATGTACTATGTGAGGAACTGAGATGGATAAACCATACCCATCAATCCACCTGGTATACTGCAGGACTGTAATATACATTAACTGTGCAGCAGATAGTAAATTATGTACATTAAAAGCACAATAATTCATTGCTTAGGGTTCAGACAGATGTGGTATTGCAAGCATTAGCAGGAGAGGAAGTAAAAAGTTTGGAGTGGGTGTAGCGAGTATATAACAGGAGGGCAGCAGTTAAGATGTATCAAGGATAATAATAATAGCCTACCACCCGACACATATGACCTGGTACTTTTTAGCTCAGTGTGTGAAGAATTCCCCAAAAGGTGTGTGAAGAATTCCCAATCAGAGGTTAATACAACAAGGTAAAATAATATACCAGCCATGTTTTAATCCATAAATCACAAGGCACATCACTAGCAGCCATGGTTTACAGGGAGCCAGAGGACAACCACAAAATGTATAAACCTGGCTTATGGCAAACAATGCAAACATTGGGAATATGTCGCAGAACTACTGAAACCTGATAATTCATATTTTTTCAGCAGTTACATTTAATTGCATTAAAGTCCCATCATTTTCCAAACAGTATAACTAAACCACAAGCTTGTCCACTTAACTTAATCACAGCAAATACCAGAGCAAAAAGCAAGACACACAAGAGTAGGAATGACATGCCAGCAGCCAAACTACTGTTATTTCACAAACAACAACTTCACATAACCAAAACAACAACTCAAAACATGCATGTTAGTAGCACAAACAGTTAGCATTTAGCCTACCTTGGTTTATTGAAGGCTTCTCCTTTGGCAGTCTCCTAGCTCTGAACTGCTACGTCACGGATTACTTCCAGCTTGAGGTGTATACCTGTGTCCACAGCCGATGCGAAAAAAAGGTCAAATAATATTTTTGGAGCCAAGCAGCAACAACAGTGCGTCGAAAACACACATTATTGCCTCCACAATGTCATCTTAAAAATATATAATCACACTGTTGGTAGCTAGCTTGCTAATGAAATGCTATATTAGTAAAGAGCAGGTAGCCACGCTGCATCGAAACAGAGTGGGCGTGGCCTTTCGATCTTAATTACAGAAGGTGTGTCTGATACAGCGTTAATGAGCTGTTCACTGAAGCGTCGGTCAATTAAAGGGCAAGTCCAACCTAAATAACCCACTATATTTTAACTGGTGTTTAGACATGGAGAGGACAGTTATGGTTCCATTTATCCAGGTTTTTTGATATCTCTATTTTTCACACATACTCTTTAATTGGTCTTGTTATTGATATATAAATCAACTTGTCTTGCTGTGCAGGTCAAAATAACTTTGTGATGATCACAGCATGTATCCCCAAAACCAGTAGTACCCATTACTCTAAATGACCCAGAGAGCATTTAATTGAATGCATTTAAAAAATATATATATATCAAAGTAAGGTTGTTTAATTCTACCAGCCATGACAGAGACACATTGTTTCCCTCTTGTAAGTGTGTGTACAGTTTGTGTGTGTCATAATGGCAAAATGTGCTTTAAGAGACACCTTCTCGAGTGGGTACTTTACCAGGTGTTTATTTTTCTCTCCATCTCTCTAAGGACATATTTTGTGACGCTTTTGATCAAGTTTGAATGCAATGGTGTATTACTCCATGATGGATTGATGCAAATGATTAAACAGTTAAACTTGAATGCAAGGGTATAATTTTCCATTTTAATAAAACTCCACATGAGAATCAGGCAAATAAAAGTCAGGCACAAGCAGATTTGGTAAAATATATACTTTTTTATTTATTTCTTCATACAAAGAAATCTTTTGAATGTTCAGTATTTAATCATCTAGAAACATCTGTTCCATTTTGCTTTTGCATTGTGTAAAATTAATTCCTTTGATGTACATACCACAAAATACTTGATTTACATGTCTTTTTCATTTTTGTACATACAGATCTGCTAGTCTAAATACATATTATATGTGGGTAAGACAAACATTTTTTTACATTTTTAGATTTCAAAGACAGGTTGAATAAAACTCAACCATAACCGATGCAGCAACACGGAGTGAACCCATGAGTGCGAGTTGTTTGTTTTTTTTCTTTTTCAGATTTTCCCTCAGTTACATAAACTTGACCGGAATCCATATGCAATTCTCCATCAATTACAGGGAAACATCTCAGACTATCCTTCCAGAGTGTGACAGCTTACTGAGAGAGGTCATCATAAATGCTTTTTGATAATCGAACATTGCACAAAGAAGAGAAGGGGGGATGAAGGCTTTCTCCACATCAAATCATGCTAAAAGAATCCTCGCTCTTGTAGAGTAAAAGTTAAAAATAGCACTACAGAAAATGCAGTGTAGCAAGCTTTCATCTCCCCTGCTTCCAACTATTGGTTTGAGGCTAAACCAAGCAGCTGGTTTCAACTGGAAAATAGTAGAAATAGCTGAATTGGGGTAATTCTCTGTCTTAATGACAGGAACAGGCTAAGTGTGTTGAATTGGATAGTTAAAGAGGCACTACATTTTCATAACTTTAAAAAGTGATTTGAGGGTGTTTTAGTATGAGGATAGTTTGTGTACATTCAGTCTGGCCCTGCTTAAACACATGATGCACTCCTGTGGATGCTTATCCCTTCCCATCATCCCTCTATTTAAATATTGGCCGCCATATTGAGCATGCATAGCCTAGCGTAGCACACCATAGCATAGCATAGCACGGCCACCTCCCATTGCCCTTATGATAGTGTACCCCACCTGCTGTAAAGACATGGGGAACCACATGAAAGAATGATAACCACACATTTTTCTCCCTCTTGCATATCAAGAATTCAAGTAGAAAGACAGAAACAAAGAAGCAGAAAAAAGCAGAGATATCGACTCAAGCTGTGTGAAACGTGATATCAACCCAGTGTTTTTTTTTTTTTTTGGCAACAAGTAGAAAGTTGAGATTGTGAGACGTGTGAGGATGACGTGAGTGAATAAGGCATAAAGTATATAGGCCATGGATGATGGCACATGAGGTTTTCTGACGACACTAGAGAGGTTGGACACTGAACGGGCCTGTGGCAATTCTTGCTGTGCTGAGAGTGCTTCACAAAACCCTTTCCTCTTCCTTTGATCTCTTCAGTCTGGGATCTCATGGCGGACAATTTTTTTAAAAAGCTCTGTTTCAATGAGGCAAAGCTGAGTTGTTGTTTGTCTGTCATATTTTCTATCTATATGCTCCATTCCTGATATATGAGCTTCACGCTTTTTTTTTCATCATACAGTGAAAACAAGACACACACTCCCAATGACACTCGGTGCTCCGGCTCCGCTTTCCTCAACAAATCAAATGCCTCTTAATGAAATTTGATTGAGACTTTGCATGACCTTTGAACTGAGCAGATAGGCCTGGCTCTCAGCCAACACTGCTTCTTAATGGGGAGTCAGAAAACGGAGACTCCATCGATCTGCCAGTTACCTTTACCCGATTAGCATAATGTTAACATGGGTCCATGTGGTCCAGGATAGGATTTAAGGTTTGATGGATGGGTCATTCATTAGAGCAGGCAGCAGGAGCAGTGAGAATGAAAGGGCAGCTGTATACTTTAAGCATGAGTGACACAATGAAGATCAATTAGGCTTATTGATCTAACTGTTATTGAGTGGAAAGGGATATGAGATCTGCAGCTTAAAATGATGCCGGTGGAGGAAAATTAGATAGAGGAAAACTTAATTGTAAGGTCTGTGTTGCAGTGAAGAATTACACTCAGAATGAAGGTTTTAAATGATGAAAGTTATGATGCATATAAAATGAGGATGCACATGGATAGGTGTTCTCCACTTCTTAGTGAGCGCTCTGTACCCGTAATATGGTGCTTTTACATTTTCCACCCTAATTTCGACTTCAGTCATCGCTGATTATCTGCATTACGGCAGCACTGATAAATCCGCCGAGTTTACAGGACCACGAGGGAGGAGCGGTAGAATTCAAAATTAAAATGAGGAATGTGAAAAACAACATGTGGGCCAGATGTTATGTACAAATATGGTTAGGCAGCTTAGTGAATTAATTGCTTAGAAATAAAAATAAATTATTATAAAATAGATTTCTGTACATTTTACATATATATAGCAATATCTCCACATCTTGCCATTGAATTACAGAAGGAAAAAAAATAACTTCTCATCAAAAAAAAAAAAGTCTTTGATGATTTTCACGTCAATCCCAACCAAAGTTATGTCCCGTCATCTGGTAGAACTTCATGTTGAAGGGCCTGTAGAAGTCCCGTAGCCTCTGCACCACCTCAGGGTCAATGTTGGGGTGGGTCCGCCCTTTGGTTTTGCCCAGGCAGTGGGGCTTGCTGCTGCCCTCGGCCTTCTTGAGGCACGGGAAACCCTTGGTCTGGTTGAAGTAAAAGTGTTTGTCAGTGATGATCCTCTTGAGCCCCAGGAAGTCCTGCACGCGGCCCAGCTCTCCGGCCGGGTCGCTGATCAGACGCTCGCCGCTCACGAACAGGATCTGCTCCATGGGGAAGTAGTGCAGCCAGTTGTCCAGGTGCTTGGCATAGATGCCGATCTGGATGGCGCTCCACGAGGTGTCGATGAGCCCCGTAGTCCTGTTTTTGAAGGTGAGGCTCTCGAAAGAGGGAATGTCCGGCTTCTTGGACAGAGTCTGTGTGTAGTCCGAGATCGCCCTGGTGACGGGGTCCCTCACCACCACGATCAGCTTGGTGTCCCGGGACATGGCGGATATCCTGGCCGGAGCCTCTCTGGTCACAAAGTAGCTGGGGGTTTTCTCCATGGTGATCTGGCCCTCCAGAGTCTTGGGCATCAGCTCTCTGGGAAGAGAAAAATGGAAACAGGAAGTGAGATATTTGTTTGACCCGACTGAATCACTGTCGACTGTCACAGTTGTACCACCGCTCTTACTACAATAAACATTACAAATGGACTAACTCTGGCAAAGTCATCAAAAACGTAGAATCCAATCAATCCAGAATAACAGTGGAAACAGTCCGTTTGCAGGAGTTTATTTATTTGATCTCGATCAGGTGTCCTTTTCTCTATGCTCAATTAGCTTCCAAGAGATGGGACCGCATGTTGATTTGCAGTTTTTGGCGCAGCACCGCGTTCAGGATGTAAAATACATTCTCCTGGTGATAGTATGCAGATGCTACCTCCAGTGTTCCTTAATGTAGCCTGAGGGGTTAGGAAATCAAGAAGGGGATTCCCCCGGGTGCATTTGAAATGGGGTATTCTTGAAGCTCATATGGTGCGAAAAGAAAATGTCAATCCCTATACCGTTCTATGGTAGTGCTGCTTATTAAATATTGATATTTGAGCTGAAAGGCTCCTCCAGCATAATCATCTTCTTGTCTTTCACTTTTCGCAACATATGGTGGAAACATCAGAAACATGTGTTTTAATATTACAATTCCCCCTTGTGGATTGTAAGAAATGTCCGAGTGGTAACTTTGTGTTTATTTTAAATGCAATTGAGTGATTTCCTCTGTTGTAGGTGTTACAAAACAACCAAGAACAAAGAGTAACTATATTCAAATATATATGTATATGAGTATCCTAAAGCTCTTTGAAATTAATCCTACCTCAAATATTTAGAAAACAACAAAGTTCAACCAAACATAACCTGAGATTCTACATGTTTTTTGGCAGTATTCCCTCATGTTTGCTTGAGTCCTTTTTGCCCCAAACTCCCCAAAAAGATGGGAAGCTAATTCATTTGTCCACGCCATCCTTCCTCTCTTTCTCCCTTTTCTCCACTTTCCTTCTGCCCAGCTGCTTTCAGGACAGCAACCTTAAGCAAAGCGGGTAAAAGCAGTCCATGAATGATTAACGCGCCCTCCCTCTGCAATTTAGAGCCTCTGCAGAATACAGCTTTAAAATTCACAAAAGTACAGAATGCAGTTGTTAATTATTGATCTGCTAGGCTGGTGCTCTTTAAAGCGAGGACTGGTGCTGGCAAAGTGACCCAGGAAACTCCCAGGGTGCACGCAGTTTGCCACCCATGTTAGAACTACTGACACCTTAAAGGAAGAAGGTCATCTGAAATGACTGAAGAGTGCTCAACACTTCAGCCGGTTGTTTACAGGACCATGCTATGGCAAGTACGATGTGTGATCAAAGTACAGCGTCTTTGTACTGCAGTGTCTTGTTCTGATGTGATGGGCTACAGATTTTCCGGCTTGCAGAAAGAGGCTGGTAGCAATCATGCTCCGTTTAACATACACAGCAAAATGAGACGGAGGGCACTGAGATCTTTGCTAAGGACAAGCTCTACACAAACGGAGCACATTCTCAAAAGACATCAGCTGTCATGAAGGATTTGAAGGCTGGTTGTGTCAAAGGCTTTTCTCCAATTAGCCCTTTAGACGCCCTAAAGAATGAGTGATCTTTGCTATACCTGGTCTTACAGTACATTGTTAGGTTTGATAAAGTTACAATTTGTTTTAAATATCAGGGAATGATGGTCGTTATGGTTAAAAGAAATCATGCTCTGTCCCCCCGTGTAATTAAACTAACCTTCTGCGAACTTCCTTAAGAAATAACATTAAAAATGACATTAAACAGACTCACACTTCTTTCCTCCAAGACGCCAAGGTAAATCCTACATCTGCTAAAGCTCTTTGTCACTTGAGCGTCAATGTGATTTTAGGCAATTACCTAAAACTACAGTGTTATAAATCTGTCGAGGGCATTATCTTTTCCTCAGCAAACACTTCAAAAATCCTTTTGGGCTTTTCATTGAATAGATGTGTGACAAAAACAAACATCAGTGTTTTTTTTTGGACACATACGGAGCAACATTTTATTGGTAATTCCAAATGATTGCTGACAACAAAAAAAAAAAAAAGGATGATTCCTAAACTGCTGAAGAGTCTAGAGGTGACAGCATGACTGTGTGTTTGACAGTTTTCCTTGCGGTTGTTCCGGGCTTTAAAACAGCTGCTCAGCGTATGAGGTGAAACAGATCTAAAAGCCATAAGTCAATACCTTCAGGCCAATGTCAAAACACATCAGTGTTGAGTGGCTCTTCGCTGTGAGGGACGGATCACGGGGTCAGCACAAGGGGGACACGAAGGAAGCGGTCGATAACAGGAATAGCAGTAGCATGGGCGCACTGTTGTCTCGAACATTGACCATCACCTGACCTCCAGAGTCCTCTCAGTGTCTACGAGCTCTCCTACAGTTGTCTTAAGAGCAACATGGACAAGGCTCCTTTCCTTGTCACATTAGCGCAGCCCCGTTGCACAAACAGTCCAGAGTGAGGCTGTTATAATGGTGCTTTAAGACAAACCCCACCTGGGACGACAATGTTTGCTAAGCTGGCTAACAGAGACAAATTCATGCAGAGTCCTGACAATACGGACAACATGCTGATTTGGAAGCTACTTCTGAAACATCCCTTATAGTACCGGAAACTTTATGTACAAAAGAGAACATTATTGTTTTATAAAAAAGCAATGAGCCCGTACTAAAGAAAGCATCCATATTTGATGGTGTGCGTCAAGCTTGTTCTGTGGTCGGCACTCACGGTGGTGGTGTGTTGGAGCGAGGGCACTCTGAGGGGATTTTCAGGGTCACTGAGGTATGTGCTATGGTGTGCAACATGAAGACAGCCATGTTTGTTAGTCCAAGGATAAGGATGGTCATGAGTCGTAAAGCACTCATGTATCCAGGTTGATGTAAATGTTTTTTGTTTTGCTTGTTGGTTGGTTGGCGATTGGTTTGTCAGAACTGGATAACTAGGCTAGTGTTTTGTTAACTCAGTTGAAGGGTCATAGTAAGGGCCAAGGAAGACTCATTATATTTTGGAGCGGATCCGAATCGAAGGCGGATAAGAAAATTGTTTTTCACTCATGGAACCAGCCTTCAAGCTCTCTTGGTAACCTTTTACTTGGCATTGTGGTTTTAAGCTTAGTCAAGTGCAGTCTGATGACACACTATTAAGTGTTTTTTTTTGTTAAATGAAATATAAACATTCATACTTGCCCTGCATGTTATATTTGCTGATTTTGTATTCACCATTTATTGTTAAGATAAGCATACCAACAATTTAGGTTCTATAACTTTGTTGAACTCACGATGAAAAGCCCCAACCATTAACCATCAGCCCCAACCTCAGAGCCAAAAGTGACGTAGTTGAATTGTTCATTTGATCAAAGCAAAATACAAAAAACCCCAGAGATATAACATTTACAATAACATTAAACAGAAAACAGAGGTCATCTTGGTTACCAAGCTTAACCGTGTCCCATTGTATTGACTTGGATTTTTTAGTTTTGTTGCTGGAGCGCTCAGAGGTTTTTGAAAAAAAACTTCTTTTGATCTGGTTTTAGGATTTTGGACATTTTAAGCAAATCATCAAATGTGAGTCAAGTTGGAACCATTTCATGTTTTTTGCATTTTTTCCAGACAAATCATATTGTCGATAAAATTTTCTGGGAATAATGTCCAAAAATGTTTTAGAAGTAAAGAATCCTCAACTTTTCCAAGTTCCAGTTGGGCAATGGAGTAAGAAACACAATTTGCAATTTTACAGTCAGTGAACTGTAATGTGGTATTTCTTTCCATTCTGCAGCAGAAGCATGCAGTGCTTTCTAATGAAACGTTATTGGCAGGGAAGGTGATGTAACAGATGACAAATCGTCCAAGTGCTTGATATTTACTGCAGTTCCAGACCCTGCTTTGATGTCTTCATCATGTTGCTACAATACGACTCCCTGAGCACACTGGTGCGTGAAACAGGGCAGCAGGAGAGAGAACACTGCGCATGTACCCTCGCCTTCCTTTAAATCAAATGCAATGTTTTGGCACACATTTAAAAAGTATTTAGAATGACTAAGATGTTAAAAGTATATAACAAACAGCTTGTGTACATGACAGAACATAACACATGTTGTAAATGACGTAATTTCTCTCATATGGAACTAACTATCTGGAGAATGATTCCAGGACTCGTTCAGGCAGCTCTTTTCCCTATTAAAAAAATATAATCCAATGTACAAGGTAATGTGCAGAAAGAACATCCCTCAATGCGTCCTTTGTAGGCTTTATAAAAGTAACCACTTTTAAATAAAGGGCCTGACGCATCAATGCTTTTGTTTCCCTATACTGAATGAATTTTATTCGCATACCAACTCGACTTTGCCCTCGTATACAGGCTGTGACTCATGTCTGCCTGTTATATACATGCCAAAACATTTCTTAAGGTCTTATTTACTGTATGCATAACATCACAACATGACATAAATTAGAAAGAAGTATAAAACGAACAAATGATCAGCTCTGAATGGGCCATTTCTCCGTGTTACTTCTAGAAAGGCGGTTTGGAGCTTGGCCAATGTCTGTCAATTGACGGGAGTTGTAAAGACATAGAAGCAAATGGGCATGAGAGCTGTCCACTTCTCCCCCCCCCCCACACGCCTTTGATTCATTTTTCCTTGTCCAGCAGGGAGCCCTGGCAGGCATAACTACACTCCCACAGTGTTCCCTTGCCACCGCCACCAGATAATAATCTTGTAATTGGCTCAATATTTCTGCTGTTTGCAGGCGAAGCAAAGGCCAGCGCCGCTCCCGGTGGCTTCGACTCACACGATATTTTCCAGGTCAGTGGATGCTAGCGGAGGTCAGAGAGGAGGAAGAAGGGAGGGGGTGATTTAGAGTAATGGGTGCTGTGCGGTGAGGTGAAAGCCCACTCCTCTGAGCTCCGAGCTTTACTGCTCTGCCAGACAGCGCCGCCAAATATTAAAGCAAAAAGGAAACATATGCATGGGATGCAACAGCCTCTGCAAAGGACTCTGGGATTCCTATGGAAACA